GGAAAATCTAGTCCCAATTGTGGTCATAAGTCAGAATATTCTATTCTGACCCTTGTCTGCCTGTCTCTCTCTCTCTTATCTATCTATCTACCTATCTATCTATCTATCTATCTATCTATCTATCTATCTATCTATCTATCTATCTATCTATCTATCATATCTCTTCTATCTAAAGAGCCGTGGTAGCACGGTGGTTAGAATGCAGTATTGCAGACTATGTCTGCTGATCACCTGCTGCCAGCAGTTTAGCAGTTCGGGTCTCATGAGGCTCAAGGTTGACTTAGCTTTCCATCCTTCCGAAGTCATTAAAATGAGGAGCCAGATTGTTGGGGGCAATAGAATGACTCTGTAAACCGCTAGAGAGGGCTGTAAAAGCACTGTGAAGCAGTATATAAGTCTAAGTACTATTGCTGTTGCTATCTATCTACCTACCTACCTATCATTTGTCATCTATCTATCTATCTATCCATCTATCTATCTATCTATCTATCTATCTATCTATCTATCTCTCTATCTATCTTCTATTGTCCATCTATCTATTGTTTCTATTATCTACTAGCTAGCTAGTTTCTATCATCTATCTACTGTATCTATTATCCATCTATCTATGGTTTCCTTCATGTATCTAGCTATCCTTCTATCTATATGTGTATCATCTATTATCTAACAAACATCTACTGTTTCTATCATTTATGTATCTATGTATATCTATCTATCTAACTAACTAACTAACTAACTAACTAACTAACTAACCTATCTATCCTATATATTTAAAAACACATAATTCTAGTAGAAAGGTAGGATTTAACATCTTGGATTGGATTGATTTGGATTGATTTGGATTGGATTGGATTGGATTGGATTGGATAACCTATGCAGAGGAAAATCCTTGCGCACATTTCACAGAAGCAGGGATGTTTTGATTTTAGTTTGTGTCACTAATTAAGTGCTTCACCCTTAACACTAACAGCACGATAAATAAATGTGCCCTTAGGTCTACTAAGATGTGCCTGCAATAGTCTAGTAGACAAACGATGTTGTTTCTGTGTGGCACTGCTTTGCCCCAAAAACGTTCTTGCTTCCCCCTCCCCCTTTTATATCTGTTTTTATTACTGATGTACTTTATGGCCTCTATTTTGCTGGGTTTTTTTCCTTTCCAATTTTCTAGTGTAAAGCTGAACCCTACAGAGTTGGCTTTACATCTAATGGCTGGTTTCTCTAATTCTCAAGTTCTCATACAATCATTGCAATCTGCCTTTTTCCTTCAGAAGCTAGACTATTGAATTTGGCTGTACCCATTCTGTCAACTTTGGTTTCACTTAGGCTGCATTTCTCCTACCACCCATCCTTTACTCTGGTCCATTTCCATATCATTTAGCAAATCTGGCCAAAAACAGGGGGAAATGGTGGGGAGAGAGACAGATAAGGAAAATAAATTCAAATACATGTAGTGCATACATTTTGGAATGCATTTTTCTTAATGCATGGATTTTTGTCCAGAATTTCTAAGGTTTATACTGTATGTACTTTAAGTGGATCCTATTATGTGAATATTAGATAAGTACCGCAGATGCCATGTGATAACATCTGCAAATGAAAGCAAAATTAGAGAAGAACTATGTATGTCCTGCCCAATGGATTGTGGTAAAATGTAATGATTGTTTGCCAGTTGCACATTCCAGTAAAAAGCTACGGTAAATATATTCCAATTATCATATTATTTACCTTCCAAGAAGATTCTAGCAACTTCTGCAGGGTACACCAGCCATTTTTAAGCCACAGAGCTACTAAGAACAGAAGTATACATATTCTACCTTTATTCCTCAGTTTCAACCGCAATTCGCCCCTCAATCATCCAATTACAGAATCCTCAAATAGAGGTCAGAAATCCCACAATTCTGTTTATAGTGATGATTCTTTATCCTGAGAAATCAACATCTGGTCCCTGTGAAAAAGCTGGTGCACCCTATTGGTTAAGAAGAAAAAAAAAACCAAGGAGATGTATTGGATAAGATGATGATAAAATAAAATAGGATATAAGATAATTATATGCCAAAAATTGCTATTAAATTTATAGCCTACATCCTGTCTTAATAAATACTTTTTTTTCCACATTAAGGGGTTTTATACATTTTTAATTGCAGTGTTTTTCATGCTAGTGATCATCACAGTGCACAGGTGTTTTATAAATACAAATCACCATTAAACCTCTTATATTTTACAGCCCAATCTTTAAAAGCAGTCTGCCAATGTAAGTCCCTATTCCATTCAGCCACATATGTGTGAGCAGATCGCTTTGCCATCGGGCTGTAAGTTATTTTTCCCTAGGGGCCTTCTGCATTAGAAGCACAGCCTTAGCCGAACTGATTTTCCAATTTTCACATTACAAAGTAATGGGAAGCAGAATGAAAGCTTTCATTTTGCTTCCCCTATAAATGTGGACCCACACTGTTTCACAATTGACTTTAAGCAGGTATTCCAGTAATAAAACTTCCACCCAGAAAGCTTGATTTCTTTCCTGTGTCGACAGCCATTTGTGGTCCTGGGACAAAGTCTCCGAAACTTATTGAAGACATCAAGATAAAGCAATAAGCATTTGGTTGCATCCAGTTGGAAAAAATTATTTGGAAACCTCTTGGGCTCTCTGGCTTCAATTTTGTGATTAAAGAATTGTAAGAAATATGTCTCGCTAACCATAATCCTCTCTTTACTATACTTCGGAAATTCTTGGCTTATAGGTTAGATCGGGGGTGTCAAACTCAATTTCATTGAGGGCCGCATCACGGTTGTGTTTGACCTTGGGGGGCCATGGTGGGCATGGCTGGGGTGGGCATAGCCAGCTCAACGTCACTCATGTCGGGGGCGCCTGTGGTGGCCCAATTGCTCTGCTAGTGAAAACAGGCTCCCAAGCTCCATTTCCAGCTGCAACCCTCTGCCAGTGAAAAGGGAGTTTGTGAGGGCCATGCGTGAGCTATTTTCTCTGACAGAGGCACCACAGGCTGGGCCTTCATTGTTTCCAGGGAGCCAGATCTAAGTACCCTGCGGGCCGGATCCATCTCACAGGCCTTAAGTTTGATACCCCTGGGTTAGATTAAAGGATCTTAGGCAACAGGAAAGAGCAGTAATATTCTTATGAGCTGGTCTCAGGATTCTTGAACTTACCTGAGATACAAGTTCCCATCAGGTCTAGCAGAAGTATGCTGTGGATCCTGTTTGCTAAAGAACTACACCTACCAGGACACAGGAGACAGGCCTTTTTTGCTGGGGCACCCACTATGTAAAACATCATTTCCTCCCCAGGTGAGATTGGCCCCATTCTTGATGTCCTTCCAGAAGTCCCTCAAAATCTAGTCGAGTCAACAGGCTTGAGGGTCTCAAGCAGGGGTGAAATCCAGCAGGTTCTGACAGGTTCTGGAGAACCAGTAGCGGAAATTTTGAGTAGTTCAGTGAACTGGCAAATACCACCTCTGGCTTGCCCCAAAGTAGGTGGGAATGGAGATTTTGTGGTATCCTTCTCCTGTCACGCCCACCAAGCCACACCACGCCCACCAAGCCATGCCCACAGAACTGGTAGTAAAAAAATTTGGATTTCACCACTGCTCCACACTGTTTACAGCAATACAATCGTGATACAGAAACCAATAAGCCCCATATATAGCAAATGGCAAAATGCAAAGCCTCCACATTTAAAATGTACTTGCCCTGCAAGTACAAGGTACTTCTAGTAGGGTTGGTGGCAATTTGATGCAGGAGTGAAATCCAGCAGGTTCTGACAGGTTCTGGAGAACCGGTAGTGGAAATTTTGAGCAGTTCGGAGAACCGGCAAATACCACCTCTGGCTGGCCCCAGAGTGGGGTGGGAATGGAGCAGGGGTGAAATCCAAAAATTTTCCCTACCGGTTCTGTGGGCATGGCTTGGTGGGCGTGGCAGGGGAAGGATATTGCAAAATCTCCATTCCCACACCATTCCAGGGGAAGGATACTGCAAAATCTTCATTCCCTCCCCTCCTGGGGGAAGGATATTGCAAAATTTCCATTCCCACCCCACTCTGGGGCCAGTCAGAGGTGGTATTTGCAGGTTCTCTGAACTACTCAAAATTTCCGTTACTGGTTCTCCAGAACCTGTTGGAACCTGCTGGATTTCACTCCTGGAATGGAGATTTTGCAAAATCCTTCCCCAGGAGTGGGGAAGGAATGGGGATTTTGCAGTATCCTTCCCCTGCCACGCCCACCAAGCCACACCACACCAAGCCACGCCCACAGAACCGGTAGTAAAAAAAAATTTGGATTTCACCACTGGTCTCAAGGAAATGTTGACTTAATGCCATGGTTACATTGTTTGTAACTTGGAATGCTCTCTCCTACCCCTTTAATCTTTTGTAATCATAATATTAATGTTTTAATTGTATGTTTTTGTAATATTGTTTATTTTATGGTTTTATTGTAAACTGCCCAGAGATGAATGGCATATAAATATGATAGGAGAGACAGAGAAGATGAGGGAGGAAGATGACATACAGTCTCCTCAGTTTTCCATGCTTCCACTGCAACAGGATGATATGAGGTCAAAGAGCTGCTTTACCAAATGATGAACTCAAGCAGTTTCATTAGTGACCTTATTCTCAGTGCAGTATTGCCTACTGCACTGCTACTGTAATACTATTGCCTGACCACTAGTTATGATGGAGTTTTAACAGAGTCATAAGGCTAGCAATGCCTATTTCTGCCAAACTGGCATGGTGCTTTATAAAATAAGCTGCTCTGAATCTGCTACCACTATTCTCAGCCAGACTCAAGTGGTGTTTTATGTAAATCTGATATTTTGGCAGTTTGCTTTAGACCGGGGCTACAATAAATGAAGGGGGAGTTCAGATTCCTGGCATCCGGCGCAATTGATTCAATTTGATATGTTCTGAATTAGAAGAGATTCGAAATTGCCTGCCATAGATCCTTGGGCCCAAGGCGCCTGGAGGAAACATGCAGGAAAGATCAAACTGAGATTAGTTGGTATAATTTACTATTGGCCTTCCAAAATTATCTGATTCCAAGCTCAGGAAAATCATGGATTAATGCAAGACTGGCTTTAGACAGTTTTTAAAGGCTTCAAGCAGCAGATCAGGAAAAGAGGGAGAGCAAGCATTCTGCTCTGTTCCTTCAGGATTCCCTGGCAGCCTTTGTTAGTAGATAGAACTGTGCACGTCCCACAAACTGTCTTCAAGGTGCAGCATAGCATATTATGCCATTATAAACACTCCAGCAGTGGTCAGCCCAGCCAATACCTGGAATGGGGAGAAGATATCAACTTAAACTTCGGCACAAGCAGCCAAACATTGTTGGCTTGGCTAATTTGGCTAATTTATCAATTCCCGTTGAGTCGGCAGGGCAGGAAGCCTATGGGTGGTCTGAACTCAAGTGTTCAGCCAATCGAATCTCCGCCCAGAAGCTGAGAATCTACCGAGTCATGTTAGAAAATGCATTAAAGCAGCACAAAGTATTTTTTTCCCCCACCTATCCTGGAATGATTTACTCAGACTGGCAATGTTTGTTTTTTTCCCCCTCCCCTCTGCCCTTTTTTCTTTCTTTTAATTTAAGAAGTCAAGGGTTAGATTTAGGTACCTTCTGTACACAAAGCAACTGCTCTGCTATAGAGCAATGTTGCTAATAAAGAGATTAGTAAGCAGTCTCCCAGCCGGTGCAGGTGGGATGTGGACCATCTGCTCATTTCCATGTTATACGGCTACGTTTTTTTTTTTCCTACCTTGCTAATGAAGCTAGTCTAAGACTATCATCAGTTATGGCAGCCAAAGGGAGCAAAACTGACTGGAGGTGGGAGCTTGGATCAAGACGAGAGATCCTGCCAGCAATATAATGAGGAGGCTGAAGTACACCCTGTATTTTGCAGTTTAGGGATTTAATTTCTTCAAGGATTCAATTAAGTTTACTGCCTTAGGAGAATATTAGTTGTCCCTATTCGCTTTTGTCTGGGAAAGGAAAAAATATGCAACCAATGTTTCCTACCTGTCAAAACACATAGCTCTGAAACATGCTTTTCTGACAACCAACATGGCTGAGGAGCTGTGAGCAGCTTAGAGTGCCTGCAGAAGAGGCATGCTGAGCATCACAACTAAAGGCTGTAGAACTGGGGTCGGGGGTGGGGTGGGCAGGGGGCGAGAGAGAATAAAAAGTTTAGGTGAAAAGGTAAAAAGCAGGTGGCTATATATATATATTCCCACAACAAACAACATAAATAGACGCCTTTCAACATTGGGTAAAAGTTGGACCTGGACAAAACGACTGAATAAAAAATATCAATCAGCCCTCTCCAAACCTGGATCCTTTCAGATAATGAATTTGGATTTCAATTCTCCTCACTCCATTCTTCCAGATATTTTGAATGGTTCCTCCCATATCCCCTTATCACTAGCTATGAGCAGCTGGAGGACCCCAAATTGCCTACTGCAAAGAACAGGTAGTGCTGCCAACAACTTTTCCACTCGCAAGAAAATGTTCTCTTCCAACTCCTACTTAAAGATTAGATTCCTGGATCAATCTTCAGATGCCTTCATCCACCTACATATTTAGAATAATTCTTTTTTCTTAGCACAGTTTCAAAATCAATACTGCTGACCCCATTCTCCTGGAAGCGAATAATATCATTAATTGCATGTAAGGATCCACAACACACACTCTGCACCTCTCTTTGAAAGCCTCTGTCTCTTCTGCAAACACACAGGCCACAGTATGAAAAGGTTTCAGGAACCCCGAAGGAAGTTAATTTTGAACCAGAAATTAATTTAGGAGGGGGTAACATTCCATTCTCTTTACGAAAAGTGCTATGAATATAGGAAAGTTAATCCAAAAAGCCAGCTTGAAACTATCACACTTTTCATTTCTTATGTTATATTATCTCCATGAGCTCTTTTCTTTCTCTGAATGTTGTAAGGTTTGTCTCTATTGTGTTTACTCTTCCAAAAATATTTCACTCACTGAAGTGGTAAATGTCTGACCATGTATACATCCTCAAAATGGTCTCTTTACAGTACCGAGAAAACCAACACATGTTTGAAAAACCAACAACAATATGGTGAGGTTTTTTAGGTAGAGCAGAGGTGGCTCACATCTCCTTTCAAGTAAAGGGAATAACTAAGATGGATAACTTCCACAATCTCTGCGGATTCTCCGTTTAATTTAAGGCCCCAATTATCCACGGGTTCTTATTCATTTGAAATGCTTTTATAAATAGTAGAGGTTCTACAGCAGGGAAACTGAAAGGGTCAAATTCTCTGTTCTTCTTCAATCTTGCCTATGTGTAGAAGGAAATGTAACCAGGGCAGAACATTGGGTCTAAAAATGGGAGAAGAGGACATTTCTGCTGAATGATACACAAGGCTGATGTTTTAAACTGGGAATCACAGAGATCATTTTGAAATCTCAATAAAAGAAAGGCGTGTCAGGTATCTCCCTTTAGGAAAAAAGAAAATGCTAGAAGTCCTGGCTTTCTAAAAGAACCGAGGACTTGGCATACAAGAAGAGAACTCTAAGTAGGCATCTCTCTAACTAGGAGCATTAAAATTTGGCTGCGTTTGGGTCCTTTTAACATTCATTGTTCTCAAAAGTTCCCCCGCTTCGAAACGCTTGCGGGATTCCCCCTGCTTCAAAGGGAAAAGGTGCTCTAATCATTTTGTCAACATGAAGGCGTGACAGTGACCTCAGTGAATGAGAGATATAATATCTAGCTATGAGAAATAAGTGACGAGCATAAGTCTGCAGCAACATAGTTTGAGCTATAAATAACAACTTTCAGACTTATAAAAACTAGAGGTGTGCACTTAACCACAAAATTGATTCAGCAGTTTGGAAAACAGCATTTTCGTATGACTGGTTCAAAGATTTTAACACGGAGCCTAAATCTGAAACATGATTTGGAAAACTGATCCTCCCATTAATCTTCAGCATGCGGCTACAACTTCAGTTCAAAATAATGGAATGCATTTCTGAGGAAGAATATGTCCTAATTCACAGATGAAGCCTAACCGATTTCATATGAGGTAAGAGGCTTAGTAAATTAACTTTCTGGCATTTTATAAATACATGTGTGAAAAATAGGTTGGAACTAGAGTTGGAACTAGAGAAGAATTATCAATAAACAACTGCCAGCTAGCACTAAACGTGAGAGATCAAAGCGTGATTTCCATTCAGCTGTGGAAAAGGAGGAGGGGAAGCATTTGATCTAAATTTTAGAGGGTAACAAATGCAGCTGCACCCTCATTTTGTTTGAGAGAAATCATTTCTTTGCAGTAGCTTGAGTCTAACAGGCAATATTTCTAAGTAGCCATGCTGTCATGTTAGGTATGTGGGAAAATTCAACAGAACTTTAGCCAAATAAAAATTCTTATACCCCTATGGCATGTTAAGTTCCTACTAATATACACATATCCCATTAATCTAGTATTGTGGACACAAGACGTTCTTTCTTGACTGTGATGATGCCACAATGTTCAATGTGACAACTTGATGTAAGCCCCACCCTTTTGTACTTGGCTTGTGATGGTTCATGCAAATACATAAGGGGCAGAATGTGTATCATGACATCCCAGTACAAATCTCATCTCTACCTCATCCCCTTATCCCTCCATATGATGATGGATAAATCCCAAGATTGGCAAGTTTAAGAATTAGTTCTTAATGTTGGTATGGGATTATCTTGTTTGTCTTGCCAGACTTCTGCAGAAATGCAAGGACAACAAATTAGTGAAGACACTTTCTCTTCAGATAGGGCCTATAAGAGATTACATTTTGCAACACATTAAACTTTTATTGAGATCATCAACGGTAAGTAAGTCAGAAAATATACTAACAACTCATTTTAGAGGGAAAAAGGCAAGTTAAAAAGTGCTATGGTTGCTCTTATAACTGGACAGCCCCAGAAGAGATTAATATACAGTATAGCAGTAGGATTCAGTGAATGAATTAACATTATGGGTAAGTTGAAGCCTAGGATGACCGATCATAATTTGATGCTTAAAAAGAGTGTGCATCTTTTAACAAAGAAGTCAAATATCCTTCAGTTTTTGAGGTAAATTCTTTGGTTTTTAGATTAAGTTTTGTTAAAAATCTTTGGAAGGGGTATTTTTTTTTTTATAATATGTTTCTAGGGAGTTCTGATTTTTGATGTTGCTAAATGCCCAAATCATGTAAGGTAAGGTTGAATACTATATGAGGCCCTTCAGAATTCCCTAGTCTCCTTAATCCTTCATGCTTTAAAATATTTTCATGAATCCCCTTTACCACAACATTAAGGGGCCTGAGGTGTAGATGCTTCTCTGTTGCAGCCTTCCTTTTTCAGAATAGCTTCCAAAATAGATTCAGCTCATCCTGAGTATGTTGACCTTCTGGAAGTTGATCAAAACAAAGTTCTTCCATGATGGAATTAACTGAAGCACTTAAAAAACAAAAGAATGGGAAGGCCCCAGGCCTGGACAGACTGCCAGTGGAATACTATAAGACTTTACAGGAATCATTAAATCTTCCATTGCTAGAAATTATGAATGAAGTAATGTCAAAGATGGAAATACCCAAATCATGGTCAGAAGCATATATTACACTTGTCCCAAAGGAGGATACTGACTCACAACAAATCAAAAATTATAGGCCTATATCCCTGCTAAACTCAGACTATAAAATCTTTGCTTCAATACTGGCAGAAAGACTTAAAAGATATTTAAATAATTTTATACACTCTGATCAAAATGGGTTTCTGCCAAAAAGGCAGATTAGAGACAATTTGAGGATAATTCTGGACACTTTGGAATACTATGAGGCACATCCAGAGAAGCAAATGGCTTTGATATTTCTAGATGCACAGAAAGCCTTTGACAATGTGAATTGGGGATTTATGCTATTACAGCTGAAACAGATGGGCTTTGGGAGAAAATTTATCCAAGCCATAGATGCCATATATCATAAACAAACAGCAAAAGTAATAATAAATGGAGAATTGACAGAGTCTATTGAAATACAAAAAGGAATGAGACAAGGTTGTCTACTGTCACCTCTGTTGTTCGTGTTAACACTAGAAGTACTAAACAGAAATATTAGAGACGAAAAAGATATAAAAGGAATGAAAATTCAAAAGGAAGAATATAAATTGCAAGCATTCGCAGATGACCTGGTGTTTATTCTCAAAGATCCATTTGAATTAATAAATATATTGATAGACAAGATAGGAGAATTTGGAAAGGTAGCAGGTTTAAAAATAAAAAAGATAAAACGAAGATTTTGACAAAAAAAAATATTAAAAAACAAAAAGAAGAATTGGCGGAAGTATCAAAGATGCAGGTCACAAACAAGGTTAATTATTTGGGGATATATCTGACAGCAAGATGCAGTACACTCAAGGAGAATAACTATAATAAACTCAAACAACAGATAGTAACAGATTTGGCTAAATGGGAGAATTTACAATTATCATTGATAGGGAGGATATCAACTATTAAGATGAATATATTGCCTAGAATTCTATATTTGTTCCAGACAATTCCAATTAGGTTGGGAAAAAATTATTTTGAAGATTTGAACAAAAGAGTGTTAAAATATATTTGGCAGAGTAAAAAGGCTAGGATAAAATTAAAACTGTTGCAAGATGCTAGAATAAGAGGAGGTTTTGGTTTGCCTGATTGGGAACTATACTACTAAGCAACAAATTTGATGTGGATTAAAGAATGGATAATCTTAAGAAATACTAGATTGTTGGCTTTAGAAGGACATGACTTGTTGTTGGGCTGGCACGCTTTTTTATGGTACAAGGGCACAAAAACACAGGGGTACTTTAGAAGACATTATAGATGAGAATCTTTGCTATTAAATTGGAAGAAGATTAAAAGACCACATTATTTAAAAATTCCAGTCTGGTTATCTACTATTGAAGCATTCTCATATTCAATAACATTTAGAAAGGAACAAATGGTTAGATATAGTGAGTTATTGAATGAAAAAGATGAACTTAAATCAAAGCAAGAATTAGATGAACAGGATATAAAGATGAATTGGTTTTCTTATATGCAAATACATTCTAGATATGACAGAGATTGTAAGACAGAAGGTTTTTATAATAACTTGATTAATTTAGATAAAATTCTA